GCATAGCTCACCAGCCATGGTATAATCGTGTGACTCTCACTAAACTCGGTCTTGTAATTGGCATCCAAGGCGCTCTTTAATGTCCTAACTTGCCCTTGCACCGTCCTAACTGCTCTCTCGATTTCACCGTTGGCCTTTGAGTCGCCTACAGGACTGACTTCAACACCCATGTCGAGGTCACATGACGCTTTAATCCTGTTGGCCAGCGCCGTGACTGCCGCTTCTCCATCGCTTTTGAGTATAACCTTCTTATATCCGGTAAAGCTGATCATGTCACATCCCACCTTCACTGAGTATGAGTCCACTCCTTTCTTCAACAACACTCGGCTCCACGTTAATTTGGTCCCCCTGCAATGCATGGCCAGAGTTGGGTTGCCATTGCTGGCACTTTCGCCTTCTTCCTTTTTCCCTTTAAGCCACATGTAGTCCATTGAAATTACTGGTACGCTTCCGTTCCTTTCCCTTTTACGTCTCCGGCGATTGCGCCTGCGTGCTTTGCCTCTAACACAATGTGGGCACCAGCTTCGGCAGGGTAAATGCGTTGCGTTGTGCGCCTCAACTTCCTCCCTCGAGGGCCTCATGTCACAGTAAACTTTCTTCGGTAACTCCGCTTCGTCGCTCACAAATACATCTTCCACATCACTCAACTTACTCTCCCTGCCCCCACTTTCACTCCCTTCGCCTTCTTCGGCGTTAAAGACGTTTAAGTTTTCGCTTGGTCTTACGGGTAATGAGGGGCTCAGTAGAACAGGTCCGCCTCCAGGGTTCCCGGCCGTGGAAAACCCTCAGCTGCGTTCACTTCACTCTTGGGATTAACGGCCTCCACTGGTCCCTTCGGCACCATGATGTTGAACTGAAACGTGCCGTTCTTCTCGTGGATGGTTGCGCATTTACCTGTGGCCTTATTCATGGTGCGACTCAGGGACCTCCCGTTAAGATCCTTGTCAAATACAACTCTGTTTCCAGCGTTTACCATTTCTCTGACGGATCCCAGAACTTTGTTGACTTCCGCTACCTGAATCGGCATGCTGACTGCGTTTCCATGTTCATTCTTGCCGGCGACCACTCGCTGCCCGCAATTCTTAATCGTCGTTCCATTTGCTGCGCTGTAATGTCTTCCCTGCTTTGACGCATCCGTTTGTTTAATGGGGAAATAGGTGCCTACTTTAGGGGGTCCCACCGCGTTGTACGCCCCAGAGTCCACGGTAACCACACTTGTCTCATGCGTTGTACTCTGAGGTGGCACCGCGTTGATTTCTGGATCACAGTCTCGCATCTCGATTAGCCCAATCTCTCTGCATTTCTCCAGCCAACTTTTTTCCCGTTTTACACTTTTACTTATCCTCTGGCCCCATTGATTCGCATGGTTGCAGTTCCCGTTGTATTGATGCTCATGGTAAGCTCTTCTCAGGTCCATTGCGACTTTACGCGCCATTTTCTTTCTGGTATATGAGGGCAGTGCCCATTGCCCGTTAGCCTCCTCAGTTGTGAGTTGGTCCGGTGGCACGTTCACTACATCCCTCATTTCAACGCTGAGAACATGTTGCGGTTGGCCAAATGAGGTGGTTTGTTCACTTTCCGCGTTCACCGTCGGTCTCTCTTGCTCAACTTCGTTGGCGGTCTTCTTGGGGCCCGGGCAATCAACGGCGATATGCCCTTTGGCACCACACTCGTCGCACTCACGCTCGCTGCGGGGGGTAAATTTTCCTTGGCCTCCGTAACTTCCACCCCGCGAGCCACTCCCTTTACCACCTTGTTTGCCCCCAATCTTACCTTTCATGTAAGACCCGTTGGTGGCCCGGTAACCCTTGCCTTTTCCGCCTTTGCCACCTTTGCCTGATTTGGTGAACTGTTTAGGTTTTGTGCAGTTCCTGGCTAAATGACCCATGCCTCCGCAATTGTAACATTTGGGGCCTGTGCCTTTACCTTTGCCTTTGTTTACGGCGTCGACTTCTTCATGATCTCCACTGTTACTCCCATTAGCCCAGGACCCGTAGCTCCAAGACCCATCTTCTGGCCACCAATTTCCGTCCTCGTCAATCCTGTCTGGTCCCAGACATTTTCGGACCCTTGACTCGTCTCGTTGATATTTCCCATGCCCATCGCATCTGTATTCTTGGTGTCTGAGTCGAGTTTCCTTTTACGCGCCCAATCTTCACACTTGGAGTATAGCATCTGGAATGAGTCAATGTTAAGCGCGTCGGGCGTTCGCCAGCACGCCCGCTGCCACTCGTCAAACCAATCGTTCGCATGCACCATTATTGCCCTGAGTGCGGTGACCTTAGAAAGGGGAGGGGCAGTGAGTAATCTTGACCATACTTTTCAAAATTCTCTGCCAATGCACTCCACTCCTCAAGTCGGGTAACAGTATCAGTAATTTTCTTGGGCGGCTCAGGGTTCATGGCGTGTGTCATCTTTGAGGACAGGGTCGCTCCGGTAACAGCCGAGTACCACTCGTAAACCTTTTGCCAAGCCATAATTCCATCACCATCCATAAGTCCCTTCAATTTTCCTCTTGCTTCTGCACCTTCGAGCTTTTCGTTAAGGATGTACCATAAGTCTTCCTCCATTTGAGTTTTGTCTCCCTCGGTAAACTCGTACTCTCCTTTGTTGTCATCCTCTGCTTGTTTAGCTGGATTCGCCTTCAAGTATTCGCTTGCTGTTAATCGACCGTTCATTATGCGCATGATGTCATCATCATCCTCCTCTGGTACAACTCCGTCGAGTGTCTCCAACTTCTTGTTCAGCATTTTCAGTGCCGGTCGGTAACTCGGTTTTACTTGGGCCAGCGCGTTTAAGAACTTGTCGTTCCAGTCTCTGAACTTTGCTCTTTCTCCACTGAAGTTCTTTAACGCCTGTAATGCTTTATGCTCGCTTATCGGTTCACCGCTCCCGTGCTTGCTTCCACTTCCTCCTTTGATTGCTTCCGAAAGCTGACCAAATTGTTCAATCAACTTCTCTTGTACCTCGCTGTTGGTCTCCAACTCGGCGACTCTTTCCACCAACCTGCGAGCATCCCTTTCAAGCGCAGCGTTTCTCTTCGTTATCGCTAACAACATGCTGTTGGTCTTCTGAGCGCTCTGTAACATTTGGAATGCCTCGGCGTTCGATACTTCCCTTCGGTCCTGTGTCACTCGCTCGTTGATGAACGTTGCAAGTCCATAATGATTTGCAAGTAACGCTGTCTGAACATAACTGAAGTCTCCGTTCAGGTATGCCTGCTCGCACAGGTCGTTGAAGCGATTAGGGTCCATATTGACCCATGCATCTCTGTCTGCCGGTACATTGAGGTTAACCGGCGGGTCGCCCTGCCCAGGCCTAGCTGCAGCGGCCGCTGCCGCCGCCATGGCAACCGCGCTCCGCTACCATGCAAAACCCCGAGGAGGGTTCTGCACGGGAGCCCAGTAACAGTGATGATGATCGGTCACCTTTATACTCCCGCACGGCGAAGCGAGTCTCGGTGGCTTCAGCCGTTAAACACTTGAGCCAAAGGTAACAGGGTTACTATTCCTCCCCAGTCACCTGAACGCTTGCATGTTAACACCTCCTCCTCCTCCTCCTCCTCCTCCTCCTCCTCCTCCTCCTCCTCCTCCTCCTGCTTCTCCTGCTCCTTCTGCTCCTCCAGCTTCTCCTGCTCCTCCTCCTCCTCCTCCTCCTCCTCCTCCTCCTCCTCCTCCTCCTCCTCCTCCTCCTCCTCCTCCTCCTCCTCCTCCTCCCCCTCCTCCATTCCTTTTCCCTATAAATAACTTCTCCCTGTCGCATCCCGAAGCCAGTTTTTAGGGCTGGCCGGGCGTTTCGCCTGAAACTCTCTCACCAGTTATGACCCTGAAGCTTAAACATTGACAACAGTTTCACAGATGGAGGCCGGGTCGTTTTCAAAATGTGGCTCTCGCCTTAGCGCCGCGCACAGTTTCGTTTTAAAGAACTTGCAAGAGTTTCACGGATTTAGGGCGGACCGGGTTCAAAATGTGGCTCTCGCCTTAGCGCCGCGCATTTTCGCCATAACCATTTGCATGGATTTCACGGATTGAGGGCGGGTCGTTTTCAAAATGTGGTTCTCCCCATAGCCCCACGCACATTCGTTTTAAAAGTTTGAAAAAGAATCACGAGTTGAGGGCGGGTCGTCTTCAACGATTTACAAGAGTTTACGGATTGAAGGCAGTTAATTTCCAACATGTGGCTCTCGCCTCAGCGCCGCGCACATTCGTTGTTGTAGAATTGAAAGAGTTTCACGGGTTCCCATGATCAACAAAACAGAAGTGGTGTTTGGAAAGGATTCAGGATTATGAGGGTGCAACAGTTACGCTGATTCGCGGTGTTGAAGTCCCAGGAATGATGATCTGGCACGGTTCAAGATCATCAAGACGCAGCAGTCAGGTTGATCCGTGGCGTTGGAATCCCGAGAACAATGCGTTGGCATGCTTCAAGGTCTTGAAACGGTTGTCTTCCAACGAGGCAATTCTCCCACTGGAAGTGAACCGTTGCAGGGGCCTACGAAGAGGGAGCTTGGAGGGAGGGTTTCTTCCAACATCGTTGATGACTCTTGGGTTTCCACTGGTCCTTCCTCCTCCTCCTCCTCCTCCTCCTCCTCCTCCTCCTCCTCCTCCTCCTCCTCCTCCTCCTCCTCCTCCTCCTCCTCCTCCTCCTCCTCCCTCCTCCTCCTCCTCCTCCTCCTCCTCCTCCTCCTCCTCCTCCCTCCTCCTCCTCCCTCCTCCTCCTCCTCCTCCTCCTCCTCCTCCTCCTCCTCCTCCTCCTCCTCCTCATCCCTCCAAAATGCGTCAGCTGCCTGGCGATAGCTCAGACAAACGCTGAGCCAGCCTTTAGCGCACAGCCCCGCGCGCGCACGTGCAAGGAGTGACAGACTCTGCGGGTGGCCCCCGTCACGACCAGCAGCCCTGCCCTACCCCTTCCCGACCTGCCCACCTCTCCGCTCGCCCCCCCTTGAAAGGAAACGGGTGGCCGTCACGACCAGCAGACCCGCCCTCCCCCTCCCACCCTGCCTACCTCGCCGCCCGCCCCCCCTCGAGCCGAGAGGGTGGTTCGGCCGCGAACGAGGGGGGGAAGCGAGGAGGCCCGCCCCTCCTCACTTCCCCCTCGGGCCCGCCGACGACTCTCGAGACGAGAGGGTGGCGGAGCAGGGCAGCGCGGGCCCGCGGGCCTCCTCTGGGGCACCGGAGCGGCGCCGGAGCAGCACCGCAAGGAAGGCAGCAGGCGCACTCGAGGCGCACTCGAGGCGTGCGGGGGCGCAGGCAGGGCTGGGCGTGAGCGGGGCGGCCGCAGCGGGGGCCCACTGCGAGGGGGCTGCCGCACAACACGGTGGCGCCGCACTCTTGGCCGGGCACTGGGCACCACGACGACAACGACGACGACGGCGCCGACGCCGACGCCGACGCCGACGCCGACGCCGACGCCGACGCCGCCGCCGCCGCCGCCGCCGCCGCCGCCGCCATCTTTGCCGGGCACCGGGACGTGACGTGGCGGAGGGGCCGGGCGGACGCGAAGGGCGACGGAGAGCGGTACGCCCTGCCGACGGGCGGCCCTGGAGACTTGAGAACCGAGCCACGCGCTTACGCAGGATGGCATAGCGACCTCACGCGGTGGATTACGCGGGCCGCCAGCGCGGCATGCTGCATTGGAAACGAGTGAGTGCGCTTCCGCGCCAAACTTTACGCCGGCAGCTTATGCGCGGACGCCCGCGCAGCCGACCCCGTTTGCCTGCGCCGCTCATGAGACCACCCCATGGTGCCTATTGCCCATCCTCCCTCCCTCCCGTCCACTGCGGCCCTCCTCCCCCTCTCAACCCCTGGAGCCAAGCAGAGGGGGGTTGCCTGCCCCCGCCAGCCGCCCCCAGCTCTGCTCAAGAGCTTGCTGTGTGGCGCTTCTGCTGCACTGCCCTTCCAAGCCGCCCCTTCCCCCTCCCTGGGGAAACCATAGGGTACCGATACCGCTACTCCCCGGACCTCTCCCGGGGTGCGTTTGACCACCCGAAGCGAATGCAGCCGTGGCGACAAGGGCCTCCCAGGAGGCCCCAGAAGGCGGCAACGGGGCACGCGTATCGGTGCCTCTTCTCCCTCCCCCGTCCCATCTCCTCCCTCATCCCCTCCCTCCTGCCTTTCTCCATCCATGGATGATGCTCCCGTCGGCTTTCTGCTGTGCCTCCGAGGCGGGCCCTCGTGGGCCCAGCCGTGACTCTTGCCTGCTCAGAGCGCTGTAGCGGGAGACTGGCTCTGGCGCCTCTACGTCTTGTATCCTTGTCACCTGTACCCTCTCCCCTCCACTACCCACATTTGCCCCTCGTCATCTCCGGATCGACGCTAAGGATCGAATTGCGCCACATGAGGCCGGCCAGCACCACGGCCCTGCTAGCACCACGGAGCCATGCCACCTGCAGCGCGAACATGGTGTGTGAAACAGGAGCCGCCCCTCCGCGGGCAGCTGGATAAGTGCGGCGGCGATGGCCAACACATGGAGATCATTTCTCTTATCATTCCCCGTAACTGTCGTTACCCGGGGGGGGGCTGGGGCCTGGGGTAACGGTAACGCTTGGGCGGGGTGGGGCACGTCGGGGCGGCGGCGCGCTGCGATCGCAACGTTTGCGCGCGAGCACCAGCATGGGGGGGTCCAGCCCGTAGAGGGACCAATCCTGGCGAACTGGCACCGATCCCGGCCGCCCGGGGCCAATCCCGGCTGCGTGCGGTTTAGACTGGGGCCAGCCCCGGAACTCCAGGACACCCACTCACACTTTCCATCTTCCACTGCTGAGGTTTGTCCCTGCTTTCTGCAATTCCCGAAACCGATGTGATACGAAAACGAACCCGATGTGGATCGCTAACGAACCCGATGTGAATTGTATACGATTCCTACGTATACGACTATTATTCCTATCATAAGGGCGTGGCCACCCCATGGGGTCTGCGGAAACAGCGACAGCGCACAGATTAAACCGAGAGACGAGGGATCATCAACCTTTTTTCATCAGGCCAGCGCCGTGGGACACACGGTGGTACTCTAAAAACTCGAGCCGGGGAAGTGGAACCACTTCTGCGGCTAAGTGCAATCACCAAAAATTGCCACACACACACACACACACACACACACAGTACATTTGCGGTGTGTGGGGGACGGCGGGTGGGAGCTTGAGCAGGAGCGGTTTCGGAGCAGAGGGAGAGAGCAGCAGCAGGAGCAGCGAACGAGACGGACGCGGCTCCACTGCTCTGAAACTCCCGAGGCCACTCGCACTTAGGAAAACGAGTCAGAGACAAATCATTCCTATCATAAGGGCGTGGCCACCCCATGGGGTCTGCGGAAACAGCGACAGCGCACAGATTAAACCGAGAGACGAGGGATCATCAACCTTTTTTCATCAGGCAAGCGCCGTGGGACACACGGTGGTACTCTAAAAACTCGAGCCGGGGAAGTGGAACCACTTCTGCGGCTAAGTGCAATCACCAAAAATTGCCACACACACACACACACACACAGTACATTTGCGTCCCATCCCCATCGTCAAATGCCCTTCGGGAGGGCGGGTGGGTTTAAATCATTATCACTGCACAGGTCCGAGGCTGGGGCGAAGAGACAGGACTAGGTGGCGCACACGCGCCTGAGGATGTCACGAACTGTCGAGTCAGTAAAACGGGCAGCTGACGAGATCTGCAGTTCGGTGAGCTTCGACCTCTGACGAAGGGCAGACCCGTGCTTTTCATATATACGAACACTCTCTCGGGCGCGCCAGCGCCCGCGCTGCTGGATGGCCTCGATCGGTCGGATACTGTTCAGAGCGTCGTGCGAGGGCCCTCCGTGGCGCAACTGGTGAGGAACTGACAGGAGATCATCAACTCCTGCTGAGTGGGCGGCCTGCTTCAAAGTCTTTTCAAACAGAGGAAGGGAAAGAGGGTGGAACAGAGTTGGCAGCTTCAAACGTCTGGCACGGGCTCGCAGCCTAGAGAGAATCTCGGGAACAATTCGGCGAACAGGCAGGTCAGTGCCGGCCTTCACCGTGCAGTCGAAATATTTGTTCTTGGCTAACTTGTCGTCGCCTAGCGGCGCTACGACGACGGTAATGTCAGAAGCCCGGCCTGACGTACGAGAGCCGAAAACGTGCTCCGGCTTGATGGCGAGCAGCTCGCCAGGCCGGAAGTACATGTCGAACCCGGTCACGGAGGCCAGGCACGCCAGCAGGTCGGACGTGGTCCCGTTGTCGAGCACAGCACAGGGCAGTTGGACGGCCTCGAACGGTGGCGGCTCTCGCGGCGTAGCCGGCAGTTTTGCCGCCCAGCCAGTCAGAGCATCTTTGGCCTTATGGAAACGAGGTCGGCTAGCAGACCATCCTCGAACTTTGCAGAGCCCATACAGCGCGTTTCGAGCCAAGTACTGGGGCTCACCTGCAAAGAACAAGTCTTCGAAGTACAAGTTGAGCGTCTCGTCTGCCAGCTCCGGCGTGGTCAGCAGCAGGCCCCGGCGATTGGCGTAGTCGGTCAGCTCGATCACGGCGGACGCGTAGCTGTCGACCGTGGCTGGCCGCAGCGAGGCCAGGCGGAGGTACTCTCTAGGGGCGGCCTGTCGCTGACTAGCAGCGACGTCTCCGCGCGCGGCAGCCTGCGCTCGGCGGCGCCGGGCGGCCACGGCCACTGGACGGGGGACAGGGTCACGTTGGCTCCGGCCTGCGCGCCTGGGCGTCAGCACGGCTGAGCCGGCGTCTGCCTCGACGTCTGCCCCGCGGGCGTCGACGCCAGGCGTTGCCCGCGGCTGCCAGTGCGACCGCGGCTGCGCCGGCGCTGGTGCAACCGCCACGTCAGCGGCTGCGCGGGCGCGGGTCGAGCGCGGTGGCCCACCCTGGCCTCCAGGGGAGCCGAAAGCGCTGCGGGCAGATCGGCGCCGTGACTCCGCGAGGCTCGGCGACCCCGGCCGCGCTTGCCAGCGCGTGAGCCCGAGCCTGGAGGTCATCCTGGGTCGAGCGCCCGAAAGCACTCTGAGGGGCGTCTGGGCCGGCCAACGAGACCAGCAGGCGGCACCAGCTGGGCAGGTAAGCACCGGCCAAAGTCGTACGCCACGTCCAACCTCGCGTCGGATGCCGGACCTTGCCCTGCAGCTCGACCCTGTGGCGGCAAGCGCAGCAGCAGCGCAGTGCAAGATGACCCAGCCCGGGAAGGCTCCCGGCGATCGCACCTGGCTTCTTGAAGGGCGCGCCGAACCTGCACGAGTCGAACAGCACCTTCGGCCAGGCAAGGCGCTGCAGCTCGCGCAGCAACGCGGGCCAGTTCCAGACTCGGCTCGCAGGCGGGTTCTCGAAGGTGACGAAGATCCCGAGGGCCCGGCAGAGTCGCAAGACACGGACTGTGAACGCCACGAGCGCGCGGTCCGCCGGCGATGGGTCGCGCGTGCCCCCGACGGGCACCCACCTCGTACAAGGCAGGCCCAGGTAGACCCACCAGACTTCTCCCGATTTGAGCCAATGTTCAACGAGACGCTGGACTCGACGGCTCGTGAGGTCACAGTGGGGCCCATACTTGGAGTCAGTCCATCGGAGGCATGATCCGAAAACCTCGCTCATGCAACGCACCACTGAGATTTGCAGTACCCGCGAAGATCTCGAGGAAGGCTTTACGAGGGGGGCCCCGTCGAGGAACTCCAGGAGGCCGAGGGCGCTTAGCCAGTGCCCGTTGAGGCTCTTCGTGTGGCCCAAGGTGTACAGGTGGGCCCTGTTGAAGACCGCCAGGAGGCCGAGGGCGCTCAGGAGGGTCCTGTTGAGGATCTTCGCGTGCCCCAAGATGTACACGTGGGCCCCGTAGAGGAACTCCAGGAGGCTCGAGTGCAACAGGGAGGCTTCGAACATGCTCAGGTCGATCTCGTCGGGGTCGCTCGTTGGGGCGTACTTTCGAGACTTCATCTTGATGCCTTTTACTCTGGTAAGAAGAGGAATGCGTGGTAGAGGAAAGCTGAGGTGACGGAGGTGACGGAATGCAACGGTCTCTTTCGGTGTTTTCAGGCCCCAGCAACTCGGCCTGCTCTCGTCCGATCTCAAACTCGGTAGCCGCGGTCGGCGGGGCCTTGGCCCTGCCCGCGGCTGGCGGGACCACGGGAATTCGGCGGCTGCCGCTGGTGGGCGCCGACAGGGCGCCTCGTCCGCGGTAGCGTCCGGGGAGGAGCTCACCTCGGTCAGCCGCCCGGCTCCCGTGGTCCGCGACGTTGTAGATGCCTGGCACGTGCCTCGGGCGCCAGCGGATCTCGCACCCGAAGCAGACGGCCGCAACCCGGCGGCACTGCGCCAGGAGCTCAAAATTGGTGGCCCTGCCCTTCTCAAAGGCGAGGACCGACGACATGTTGTCGCACAGACTGAGGATCTCCTTCCCGTGGAAGTTGACGTCGCCTGCCGCTCTCCATAGCGGTGCGACGGCGGCGCGCGCCTCGAGGGCGTGAATACGGCCCGGCCGGCGCCACGCGCCACGGC